ATTTGGTCTATCCAGAATGAATATTTAATTAACCGCTTCAGTGATTTTKACACATATTCCTTTCTGTTCAGTCCTGTGTGTTTAATGAGCCTGTCTACAACAACGTTTTTTGAATGGACCGCATTCTATTACTGTTAGACAATGGTCTCCATTTTCATCTTTTTGCAAAATCATTCCCCTCCCCCAATTTTATTTTACCATTTTTGAGTAACATTATTTTACAATGTATATCATTAACCAATCGTTTATATTATGGACTAATAGATCGAGACACACCCAGGTTATTATGCGAACCTGGTCGAACAGTGCCAAGGCAAGACTACTCTAGCTACTGAAGARATAGAAAGAGACTTACACAGGTAATGCCATACAGGATAAATATAACAAAACTGTGCCAATTCATTTTGCCAAATCCTGAAACCGCATCAAACCCTGAAACAACCTTTGAGATGATCCAAGTCAGGGCACAACTAACTCACAGATCAAACCCTGAGAGAACCTTTGAGATGATCCAAGTCAGAGCACGACTAACTCACAGATCAACCCCTGAGACAACCTCTGGGCTGATCTGAGTCAGGGCATGGCTAAATCTAACATTGAATTGGAATCTAGAGGAGAGGAAACCACGAGATCTGGAGAAAACCCCTGGAATCATAAAAGAAACCTGGCAATATCAACTCACATTAAGTTTTGATGCATCATCCAGGAATCAAACCTGAGACCCAAGAGATGAGAGCGTACTACCACTACACCACCCTTTTGATTTTGTGTGGTATATTTAATAGGCATCTATTTTTGTAAGCGCAACTGCATCTCAGGAATGTGATATGTCATTTACAATTCAAAAGATTCACAACATGAATAAGCCTGAAGCGAGATGGCGTTTTACCCCCGACTCTAGACCATAATAGTTTTTAAAATTCTTTCATATTAAAATTTGTGATTGCTTAGAGAATACAGGAACAATATTCATAATTAAAGAACAAAAGCAATGTGAAAAGGATTATGTTCTAGAGACGGGGGTAAAACGTCATCTCGCTTCAGGCTTATTGCACGACTCAATCCGAATAATGCTAAATGTATTTTGACTTTATTTGATAGGTCACTCCCAGAACACCCTGCCTTTCAATCAGAGGTCGGTATCGGTGCACTAAGACGAGTACTGACCTCCTATGCATGGAGAAATCCTAGTATTGGTAAGTAAAGATCTACCATGTYAGACATCCCAACATAACAGTGGGCTATTAAGTCTGTAGTTTAAGACAGGCTGTATGCATGTTATCTTACAGTCTAGTAAACAGAAATTCAATTTATGTCGAAACATTCTGTAAATTTATTTAGACCAAAGCTTAACTAACGTCCAGGCCTTGCATCGCGACGTAATAGTTTGCAAAAGAGAAGACAGGAGACATTGGTTTTGGATTAATTTTGGCCACGCTAGTGGCAAGTTTAATAATCAATAAACCTATATAAT